TTATATATTTATTAGTATTACAAATATAAATATAAATATTATATGTTACCTTTTTTATCTTAATTTATATGGCATTGATAGAATTTAAAGTGTCAAATAATTGTTAATTATTGTAATATATAATATGGAGTATTTAAGTCATTTATAGTATAGTAATTAATATATAATTTGTAGTATTTAAGTGGAAGGTGGTGGGGCCCACTTATAAATATATTGGATATTAGTAGTGATTCTTATTGGAACACTTGTTGAGGTGTGGTGGTTGGTTATTCTCACTTATTATATATAGTAATAGTAATAATACATGTCTTCGTCAACATGCCTACTTGTATGACAAAGGGTATGTTCGGAACTTTCTACTTTTTTCTTCTTTAGGTCTTTGTAATCTCTTGCTCTTAAAGGTGTACTTTTTTTTTTATTAGACACAAAACACCAATCAATATTTACCTAATGACTTATGTCCAATCAAAAAGTTATTCTTTTGTTGAACTGTGTGGGCCCTCATGGGCTCACTATACTATGTCGGCTCTCATTCCGTTTTTCCTTTAATAGTAGTAATAGTAATATTTTTTCATACTATTTAGTATTTTCATTATATTACATTTATTTCTTCTTGTTTTTTTTGTTGGTTATAGATTCAAAAATTATATAAATAATACTATAAATTATAATAATTAATAATATAATTATTTAAATATTATATTAAGAAATTTGATTGACTCTTGACATTCTGTTGGTACCACATAAAATGGTTAGATGATAAACATATATTATTTGAACTTGACGAAAATATTTAAAAGTTATATAAAAAAATTTGACTGACTCTTGAAATTCTATTGGTACTACATAATATGGGTTAGATGATAAATATATATTATTTGAAATTGACATAAAAAGTACAATAAATCACAATAATTTACAATCTAGAAAAAAATTAAAATACATATAAGAAAATCACTTGACTCCACAAAATCTATCAATGCCACATAAATTGAGACATGAAAAGTAACATAGTAATATATTATTTGAAAATTAAAAAGGTGCTATAAATTACAATAATTAACAATTTAATATATTTAAAAGACATAAAATGGTTAATTTTTGAAATCCTTTATATGTCACATAAATTGAAACAAAAAAAATTATAAATTACAATAATTAACAACTTATAATATTTTTAAAAATCGTATAATTTTTTTATAACTTCTCAAGTTCCATGATTTGACATAAATTGAGACAAAAAATATTACTCCATTTGTACCAATTTATGTGGCTTACTTTATTTTTTAGTCAGTCCTCAAAAAAAGGACACATTTCTATATTAAGTATTCCTCTATCCCAATTTATGTGACTTACTTTCCTTTTTAGTAAGTCCCAAAAATAATGACACATTTCTATATTAAGTATTCCTCTATCCCAATTTATGTGACTTACTTTCCTTTTTAGTAAGTCCCAAAAATAATGACACATTTCTATATTAAGTATTCCTCTATCCCAATTTATGTGACTTACTTTCCTTTTTAGTAAGTCCCAAAAATAATGACACATTTCTATATTAAGTATTTAAAATGATTTACAGCAGCACAAATTTCTATCATTCATTTTGGACCACAAGTTTTAAAAGTCTTCATTTCTGTCTTAAATTCCGTGACGAATCAAACTACCTCACATAAAATGGGACAGAGGGAGTAATAATTTAACTATAAAATGTCTATTTTACCTTAAATGAAATGATTTACAGTAGCACAAATTTCTATCATTCATTTTGGACCACAAGTTTTAAAAGTCTTCCTTTTTTTCTTAAACTTCGTGTCGAGTCAAACTATTTCACATAAAATGGGACAGAGGAAGTAACATATATTGAGCCCCATGCTGGCACGGGGTCCTGTATCTAGTATATACTACTATATATAAGAGGCTAGGGAAGCAACTGTTTGTCGACGTGCTTGCTTCCCTAGACAAGGGCAAAATGGACTTTTTCTTAATATTTTCTTAATATTATGCTTAAAAATATGTTGTACTTGGCTGTTTTATAATTGCACTCCCTAAGTACTGAAGAGAAAATGGTCAAAAACCCCTCTAACCTATGGTCGGATTTTCAACTACACACTCATACTTTACGGGGGTCCTATTACCCCCTGAACTATTTTATAAGGAAATAAATTTCACCCTAAAATGACATAGTCATTCATGTGTATTGTGGTGTAACACACGCACATGCCATGTCAGCCCCACATCAGCGCCATGTCAATGCCACCTAATAAATATAATAAATGAATTATTTTTCCTACTTTTTTTTAAATTAGTATATGCCCCATTAGAAACCCTCCATTATCATTAAGAACATCACCATTATCAAACTCACTTCTCATCCATTGACATTCCGGCAGGAGAAAAGACGGTAAAAATTTTCTGACGTGTAAAAGTTTCTATGACCAATATCTTTATCTTATTCCCCATAATTTCTCTCAAAGTTCATTGCTACACATTTTACTCATGTTGGGGGCTTATGAAGGGATATACCCAAAGTAGTATATGGGCATGCATAAATTTTGAATTCAATTTCTTTCTTTTCTTAATGTTGGTGAAAGTAGCAAACCATAAAATTAAAACATTGAAATTAATCCAATTGAAAAAAATTATGATCCAATTGAATTTTTTATGCCCCATTTCTAAAATACCCCAATTTGTGGTTAAATTCAAGAATGTGAAATTAGAATTAACATTTGAGATAAGAGCTTGTGAAGGTGTTGGAAATTGAAAATTCTATGTTTGTTTGAAATGGGTTCTGGTAAAAAAAATTGAATTTTGAGTTCTTTATTTTATTAATTTGATTTGGGAGTAATAACTAAATTTGTTTTAAGGTTCTTTGATTATGTAAGAGACGGTTAATATGTAGAATTCCTGAAGAAATTTGTAGAGATTTGTGATTAAATATAAAAATAAAGCAATAGTGTGAAAAAGAAGAAGAGGTGTAGGGTGAGTGTGAAGAAAAAGAAGTGTGGGGCGGTTGGGTTGGGGGGAGATTATTTTAATTTAATTAGAAAGAAAAAGAAAATAAAATAAAAATATGAAATAAATATAAAAACAGCCCTATTTATTCTCTTTTCACTCTCTCAAAGAGAATGAAATACACTTTCTCAGCCAACTCAGCATAAAGATTTATTTATTCTATTTTAAAACAGTTCAGGGGGGTGATAAGACTCCCGTAAAGTTTAAGTGTGTATTTGAGAATCCGATAATAGATTGGGGGGCATTTGACCATTTTCTCAAGAAAGTACAATAAATTATTTTTAAAATTATGTAAAAAAGTACTAACAACTTAAAATATTTTTAAAATCATATAAAAATTTAGATAATTTCTCAAGTTTCATAATATCACATAAATTGAAACGAAAAATTAATATATATTGGGCCCCGTGCTGGCATGAGGCTTGTATTTAGTATTAATATACTTAATATATACTCCTTTGTCCAACAATACTTATCCACTATTAACTTTGCACTCTTTTTAAGAAACTATAAATAGAAAAGATAATTTTACTATTCACTTTTTGAATATAATAAATATAATATCTTGAAAAATGTAAAAGGAAAATGTCATAATTATTGAGAAAGGTAAATTAGGAACTAAGTGTAAAATTATCCATTAATTTCATTAGGTGAACAAATATTGATTTACATCCCAAAAATGGAGTACAATAGACAATTATTGTTGGACGGAAATGGACAACTATTATTAGACGGAGAGAATATAATTAAAGATGGTGACACGTTTTAAGTGATTAATTAATATGCACTTGAAAATATGCTCAAAAACTTTTCCAAAATCTGAACAGAAAATATTGAATAGAAATACCTTATCACATGTTCAAGTGTTTAACGAATATAAACTTTAGTTGGAATCTCTAAATAAAAAATTTCTGGGAAATTCAAAAACTGTCTTATGTATTAAGCATACTATAGAATTATTTACACACTGTGGGTACATATATAACTTAAATTATTCCCTCAAAATAATAAATGCACACATGCTGTTCGACAAAATTCCAAAGAGAAAGCAATTCACTTAGTTTGTGCATAACTCAATGGAATTTCCAAGCAGAAGTGGAATAGATTGGAGTCCCTTTCCAGCTAACCATGAAAGACCCTCCATTTACATCCACACTGCAAGAACTCCTACAAGCAAACTGCTGAATAATCAAGTTTGCTTGATACAAACATGTGTTACTCAGCTTTACTTCCTCCATTCCAAACCTCCTGAAAAATGATCTCCACACATCAAGATTCACACTTCTTATGACCCTTTCCTCCCCTTCATTTCCTACTATGTTCCGAATCCCCCCTCCGTATGACACTTCTAGTGTCATCCTGTGTTGATCATCCCGCTTCATTACATCTTCCAGGCAATCAAATAATGCACTGTAGTAGAATAATGAGTCTATGAATCGGTTCACGAATAGAGGTGAATTAAGATTTGCCTCTACTTCTGATACTACCATTAGTGATGGTTGTAGCCTTCTTACAACTCTCATTGCAGTTTCTAAACAGTTGGGTATGCAAATCATTGCTCGTAGAAAGAATGCTGCATGGATTACTACCCCTTCGTCAGGTTTTATGTCGAAGTGATCTTCGGTTAGTTGGTTTCTATCTGGTAAAAAGATGATCTTGAATGAGAAGGGGAAGTTCAAGGAATTAGCAAAACTCTCTAAAGACTTGCCTGTTGCTATTACTCTTTCTTTATTGACTGATTCGATAACTGTGATCTTCATATGTTCGATTGGGTTGTCTTTTCTCTCTGCTGCTGCTTGGATCAAGGATGCCCATTGTACCCCTGTTCTGATAAGGAAATCAATTAGGTGAACTTTGGGTTTCGTTGCTACACTTTCTAGTATGGCTTGAATTCCTGTGAAATGCACTATTTGGGTGAATGGAACTTCTTGATGTAATGCTACGTATGAGGCATGGAATCTTGATGCAACACAGATACTGTTAAGTTCATCTGTTTCCGTGCAGATTTTTGGCATTATTTTTCCTGTTTCTCTATCGATCCTCTCTCCAAGTGCTTGTGCAAAATAAAAGACTGCTCTTTGCACAGGATTACCTGTGTTTGATGTAAGTAGTTGGCATTGACTCAGAAATTTCCTTGCACGGTCGTATTGCTGGTCAGAAACTTTCTCAGCTGCAGTTAGGAGGATTTGAGCAAGTTCTACGTCTTGATTATCTTCAGGAGAAAGGTCTGAGAAAGCAGAACCATAGGGATGCAAAAGATTGTTTATGTTGATGAACTTGTTGGAAGAGAACTGGATGAATCTTTCTCCAGCTAGCCTCATGATTTGTGTAGCTGAGAGCTTCTGGTGCACGTTGGCTCCATCATTCACATCTCTAACTTTAACCCCTTCAGTATTCTTGCGCCTTCTCGGATTGTTCCTCAGCAATTCAAAAGGAGCTAGAGATAGAAAAGGTACCTCGTCCACGTCGCTTCCTGTTTCTAGATCACTGAGCTTTAGTTTTCCTTGACTTAATTCACCTGCATAATGGGCAGCATGCACATTCATTTCTTCTTCTTGTTTATTCATTTCTTGTAATTGTTGATTGACTGCATATTCTTGATGGAACCCATAGTTGGCACAGAAGTTCTGGATATCTGTGGAATCCTCCATAACTGATGAGTGATTTCAACTCTTTGCAATATCTACTCTACAACCTCTGATAGAGCCATCACTCCCTGGGATTTGGTTGGAAGTGAATGATGCAAGATGGAACAAACAAGGGATTGGTCATATCAGAACTGAGAGTAATTTGCAAGCGCCTCCTGATCCGCTAAGGTTAGCAGCAGGTAATATTATTGATATTTCATCAAATCCCAAGTTTATAATTACAAATTAAAGCTGTGCAACTGGCTGATGATGGGACTACTTGAAATTTTTGAGAGATCAACCCTTAATTAAAAAAGAGCATATTCAGCTGAATATAATATGACAGACTGTGACGTAAACCTCTAAAAGAATTGGCAATATCGATTAGTTTCACAGAGTTATTATCATCTAAAAAAAATGCAATTGTATATCTTGTTAATCTTTGTGTTTAAGATGTCAAAGTAATATTGCTGGCTTTCTAGAGTTTTAATAAGAATAGAAAGACAAGAAAAAAAATAAGACATGGCACTAAGGACAATGTGATTTATGACCCTTCTTAAGAAATTCAGCCTACCTACTTTTGGACATACTGTACTTTTGCTAGGTAGTCATTTTCTAAATGGAGATGGTGACAGGTTATGTGAATAACAATCGGATAACTGTTGAAGAAAATATAAGACTACCTAAAAATGAATTGCAGACAAGCAAATGGGCATCTCACCAAAAAAATAAAAATGCAAGAACCTGTGCACAAAATTAACAAGGCCACCCTCAAGATTCTTTTCTTTAAATAAAGAACTGTGTGGAAATTAGCTCATTTATTGGATTTGTCTGTCCTTGTGCTAGTCATGGTTACCTTTTGTTTTTTTTGCTAAGGTAAAGATTTAATTAAATGGTACCAAGATGGTACAAAAAAAGAAACAAAAACCACATATAACAAAAAACAGCCTACTATACTCTTATTCCATATACTGGTTCAAACTATCCATTAAGCTACTATACACCAGAAGTAAATTTTTTGTAAACATCTTATCTTAATTCTAGAAAATTTGAGTTCTCTGTCGTTCAAAGCAAGCCTTGTTCAGCTCCAGCACTATTGTCCATAAGATGCTCAATGGAGTAGTTGTCTACTTTATCTCTTTTGGTATCACCTGCCACTGCCATCCTTCCAGTAAACCTTTCACATTTTGAGACATCACCCATGTAATACCACAAAGGTTTAGGAATAACTACCAACATTCTCTAGAAAATCTGCAATGGAGAAAAAGGTTCTCAACTGCGCTGATTTGCACAACTTGTAATTACGCCTGTTGCACTGACTTAGTACAACTACTTTATACAATATACTGTTTACCCATCAAACAAAAAAAGGTGATCAACTGCTTTCCAATCTTCTTGACACAGGTAGCATCTACTACATAGGTCAAAACCTCTCTTCTGCAAGTTATTTTGAGTTAAGCATACTCCCATGTTGCAACCTATCCAAAAATGCTACTTTAACAGGAGCTTTTGTCTTCCATATCATCCTCCAAGGCCAAGAATTATCCCACTGACATGTCTTTATCAACATACTAAAAAAAATTCTTGTCTTTACTTGCCCACCAAATCAGGATGTCCACTCTGATCAATATAAACTGATTCAAATTGTTGAAGCAACTGACAAAATTCTTGTATCTCCCAATCATTCAAATTCCTCCTGAACCTTAGCTGCCAACCAGATTTAAAATGAAATTCAGCAGTACTGAGCAGTTAAACAGAGTAGGAGGCTTATATTTTAGACATTCATCACCAACCCACAAATCTGTCCAGAATCAGTCCAGTAAATTGACTGAAATCTTCCCAAATTTTATTTTCTGTTCTGTAAGAAGTTCATCAACCCAATTCATTTGGGGAATTTTTTGGTAAAATGATAAACCAGAAGCATGATATTTGTGATGAGGTTATACCTTTTGGGACCATAGGACTTCAAAGTTTTCTCTTCCTTTTTTTTCAGGCCTAATCATAGGTGTCTATTGTAATGCCGCAGTTAACATATTCGATCTAAAGGTATAGGAGTAGTTATTAACCAAGCCATGTCCAGTCTCCCGCACTTCTTGAAGTATGCGACTCTCAATGAGGACCTTTGTTTCTTCTGCCCACTCTTTGTTCACAAGGTGCTCAAAACAAAGGAGGAAGGGTGAACAACAGGTACCACAAGTCCACTATCCCAGAAATATGAGTTTAAGAGAAAAAATCTAGATTTTGGTAGCGTGGAGATGCCTTATGGTCTGTTAATGGTGTACAACTGAACTGAGAAAGTAAGCATCCTATTTGTTTCCTCAGTAAGGTAAATTGTTTTCTTACAATAACTTCCAAATAGATAGAGAATGAATTGGTGTTCCCTTCCACCCAATAATGAGGCCTTTCCCATCCTTTTGAAGATCACAAGAACTGCCTTGGCCAAATTGCTTGAGAATCAGATGAGCTTGATACCAAGCTGACTCACTAAGCTCTTCTTCCACCATACCAAACCTTGCAAAAAATGCTCTCCATACTTCAAGCTTCACATTCCTGGTGAACCTGTCCTCCCCTTCAGCCGCCACGATGTTCCGAATACCTTCACCAAAATACACCCCTTCAATCGTTGTTCGACATGGACTGCCTCGATCCATGCAGTCCTCGAAGCAATCAAAAAATGCACTGTAAAAGTAAAGTGTCTCAATAAAGCGGTTTAAAAATGATGGTGAATTATGGTTTGCTTCAACTTCGCCAACAACAATAATTGTTGGTCCAATACTTCTGACTACTTTCATCAAATTATCCAAACAATCTGGTCTTAGTAGCATTGTCCTTAGTACAGAGTTGCAATAAACAGCCACAGTCTCATCTGTTTTAATATTGACCGACTCTTTCTTGAAATCTTTCATGTCCGAGACAAAAACTATATCAAATGAAAATGAAAGACCTAAGGACTTGGCGAAACTGTGTAATGTGTTGCTTGTTACTTCAAAGTTCTCTTTTTCTGTGCTTCCAACTGCAGTTATCTTAAGAAGTTCAATTGGACTGTCACCTTTTTCTGCAAGAGCTTGTATCAAGACTATCCACTGAATTCCACTTCTGATATTAAAATCAATCAAATGGATCTTTTTTGCGCTTCTGACATTTTCAACAATTGTTTGAACTCCTGCAAATTGCATCACTTGACTGAAGGGAATTAGTTTGTGGCAGGTCAAGAATGCATAGTTGGTACCTAATGACATAGTTTTTATATACTTGAGGTGGCGATCTTCATCCGTACATGTGTATCTTCCAGTTGATCGATCAATCCTTTCTTCTAAAGCTTTAGCAAAATAGAAAGAAAGTCTCTGGACTGGATTACCTGAATCAGATGCCACCCACATACAACGAGAAATCAATTTGCTAGCTAGATGGAATTGCTGATTATTCACTTCTTCTGCTGCAGCTAGGAGGAGGTGGACAAGTTCCACGTCCCTTGTTTCCTCCATACAAAGGCCTGAGAGTGCCGAACCATAAGGGTGGATAAACATAGAAAGACCATCTAGCCTTTGGGTGGAGTACTGTATGTACCTGTTCAGACATAATATGATCAAGTAATTAAAAGTGTGCTTGCTCTAACATCTTAACTTTTATAGATGAGATGGTCGCATACTTCAACTTGGTATCGATCAAGGTATGCAAAGATCTAAAAACTTAAAACTTTAAGTTGAGATAGTCACACAATTTTGGCAGTACCTTTCTCCAGCAGCCCTCAAGATCTCTTCCATTGGCAACTTTTGGCTGTTACCTAAGCGAGCCTCACAACTTAGTGCATTAGTGCTCAAGTTTTCCTCACTCGATTTCTTGCTCAGTCTGCCATAATTGCTCAGTAGCTCCAAAGATGCTAATGAAAACGGCTTTGGTTTTTCATTGCTAGAGTTGCCAGGTTCTGGTACTTGAGGCCGGAAATCATCATTCTTTGGTGCTTCAATAGTGGATTGGATTTGAACCGGTTGCAAGGGCATGACTGTGTTGGTGGGGAAATGATTTTGCGTCCAATCTGATAGACTTTGTTGCTGATCTTCCAATAAGTTGGTTCTAACTTGTTCATCAGATGTATTCTCTTCATTGTTAAGGCCACAAATGGAGTAAAGAGAATCAATATCTACACAATCTTCTTCGATGCCATTGACCACTAATTCACTTCTCTCATATCCTTTAAGATGAAACTGATCATCCTGGAAATCACTAAAAATATCATTGGAGATTGAGACGTTGGTCATGGTCTAAACTCCAGGACGAATTAGTGGTACCCTTAACAAAGTAGCCTCGAATGGCTTTATAGTTTCAGGAGTACTGTCTGAAAATCAGCACCATGTAACTTCTTGGATATATTTTGAGTAAAGTTCTTTTGATGGCTATGGGAGCTTGACAATAGTGAAAGTGAACTCTTTTGAGAGTAAAAACTTATGGATACATAGTGTTTTCACTAAATGAATATATATGAATGACATTTGTTTGCATATAGACTTTATCTCGTTTACCTATGATGAGTTGATACGATTTGGTGTAAACATCGAGGAGCCAATAAGATAACCTGGTCATAGAGAGATTAATGCCACATTTTAAACTATTGGTTCAGTGTGATGTTTCCATGGCAACAAGCAGAAGATTCCAGATGAAAGAATACACATCCCAAATAGATTACCATTGTTTCCATCTTTAAAGAAACTTCAATCATGTATATATATATGCATGTGGACAAATGCATAATTACAATCAGAAACAGATTAGAGCGTAATTAGTGACATATTTGGAGGGAAAGGAAAATATTAATCGCAAAACAACAAGGGACTAGCTATAAGCCCCTGAAATATTTACATCGAATCAATAAACATATGACATGTTCTTGCTAAATCATCCGTGAAATAGGATGCTTTTCTCATATCAATTCATCATTTAACCGCATTAAATTCATGTGGTTTGGTATAAACATCGGGTATGACATACTCAATAACTCTACCAAAAGTAGAAATTACACAAAAAGG